GACTGGTTTGGCTCAAAAGAGCAACAATTTTTTTGGCGTGGCATCCACAAATTGTCATACAGGTGGGAAAAATGTATAGCTAGCGATGGGCAATATTTCGAATAAAATATTTTTTATAATTTTCATGCAATAAACGTGTATTTTCTATTAAAAAATTCCGGTTTCATATTTACATACCTGGTAGATTCTGATTTAATAGTTTTAAATAGTTCGTATCGTCCGATATTGGAGATTATTCCATTATTTTCTACAGGTAATTCAAATGTTACGTTTCTAATATTATGTTTCAAATGTTGAGTATATGTGCATGCGCACCATCCAGATGAATGATCTGTTAACATATGTATTTTATTACAAAATATAATGTGTACTTTTTGTGTATTTAAGATATATGGGAATGACATTATTTTGTTTAAAAAATAAACATCGTGTGTGAATAACTTCCTTTCTTCTTGAGATGCTGGTGAAATGATTGTGGAAACCGTAGTTTATGAAGATGATTCTTTATTCGGTTCATTATGTGTCTTACTCGGACGAGCACTCGAATGTAATGTTGTTCCGATAGCGACCGACTCGCTAGAGATGATTCCTTGATGTAATTGATAGAATCGCTATGCTCACTCGATAACTTATCCTACCGCGATACACTTTTAGTACCGACTTGATGTCACTAATCGTGACACACCGCCCGCCTTGCCAAATATAACCTATTTGCAATAATCATTATGACATAAATTTAAAAAACAACTCAAACAAATTATAGAGCATATTACGCTTCTTGCGATTATTAATTCCAGATAGCTCATAAACGCATTTATCTTATAACTAATTAGAAAACCTTAAATGGCATTTATCTTATAACTAATTAGAAAACCTTAAATGGTAATTTGTTGACCACAACTACTCTAAACAGGGAGAGATATTAACAATAGCTCTTTTGTACACTCCTTGACTCGTCCTTACCGTTACTGCCCTAATGATTCCATCCGAATCAGGATATACTTCTATAATTTTGGCGAGATTCCATTTCAGCGGTTTGCTCTCGCTCTCTTTTAACATAACCAGTTGTCCAATTTTGAAAAGTTTCATAGCGTCTGACCGCCATTTGTTCCTCTGCTGACACGTCGTTAGGTATTCCCTTTGCCATCGACTCCAGAATCGCTGCTTCAGCTGTTCTACGTGCTGCCATCTTGATAGTCTGTTTTCTGGAATTTCCTTTATATCTTCCTTCGGGTAGCTTTGTAAATTTTCTCCGATTAAAAAATGACCTGGGGTTAATGCACGAAGATCATTTGGATCTTCAGACAAGGGCGTTAACGGTCTGGAGTTTAACATGGCTTCTATTTGAGTTAGTACCGTCGTCATTTTTGCTATCGTCAGACATGAGTAGTAAGTGGGCAGCTATGGGCCGTCAAAACAAACCCCCTCCACTCGACCTTCGGCGTCAGGTGGGCGTAGCCTAGACGAGTCTGTCTGGGGAAATGGTGCCCTCTGATTGGCCGGTAACGTAAGGGTGAGATAACGTGGTAATTAAATGTCGCGTTTTGATTGGCTCGGTCCATAGTTGCCCGCGCGACGATTGGAGAGGGCGGGGGTGTCGGCAGAGAAGAATAACGCGGTAAAATGGTGGATGGCAAAAACCGAGGAAAAATGGGACCGAGAACTTTGTTTATTGGAGGGGGAGAGGGGGAAGGTACGGTCAGCGAACATGAATAGCACACAGGTTTTGTCCTGCAGGCCATTTTTTTTTGCTGCAGCGGTTCGATGTCTCCAACGCGTTGGCGTCTTAGTAAATGGGTTTTTTTCTTATTATTTATGACGAAGACTTTTACGAGAATTTTCGGGAGACTTGCTTTCAATATAGGGAGAAAGGGGAGGTAAAACAGGAATGAACAAGTTCACGCTGGCATGTGCCGCCGTAATCGGTGTGCTGATTCGAACATTATTTTAAAAGAAAAATTTTTCTATATTTTGTTTTTAATGAACGTTATCTAAATCGGAAATACGTGAGAAAAAGGTAACTAATGTAAAAGGGGACGAGGTTAAGAGTAAGAAGCGGGCGAAATTTACATGATCAAAAACGTTTATTTTAAAAAGAAAAAATGATATTACATAAAATATTTATTTTATATTTTACTTTTTAAAAGAGTAGACGATTGAACATGACAGCATACAGCATGAGAATTAATTTTTTTACGTTTACAACGAAGAAAAAATTTATCAAATAACTATGCGATCAATCGATCATTGCGTTTACAATCAGAGGTAAACAGACTAAGAAACTGGCTAAGATTATAACCATTACATATAAAATATAGAAATACACAGCAATATTGTCCGCAAGTTTGAGAAAGTATTCCTTGCAGCGTCGTCGTATCGTGCTCCAGCGATACGTGGTGGAGTTTCGGCGAAGTCATAAGAGGAATCTTGAATCCAAGGGCGGCAAGCTGTAGCTATCGAAATATGTTCCTGTACCGCATTCGTCGATGTAGAAGGCGACCCAGTGCTGGCCAGGTCGATCGTGATCGTCTGTGTTAGCGACAATGGCAGTCGACCTCGTCCACACCCTCGGCAGTCGATCGGCAGGATAGACCCCGGCATGTCGGACACTGAGATGATGTAATGCGTTTAAAACTTCTAGTGAATTCATTTCTCGGCGTAGATAAGCATGCGAGAGGAAATGTTTGCGTAAATTCGGAATTTACCTCTTTCGCCGGTACGTGCGTTGTAGAGTTCTCAAAAATACTCGACGTTTGCGAAACGCTAGTGTTAGCTTTATCTCTATCAGTCGTCGAGTCGAATTTTGGAAGATCTTTCTCCTCTTCGGCTGTCGCTTGTTCGTCCTCGCTTTGATCAGCCTTTTTTGTCACGATATTTTTCCTCCACGCTTCGATGTTGCGAAATATATCGTTTTTTGATTTTTAAATTGAATTGAAAAATTTCCGCTGTTTGTTTTTTCGCTCTTGACGTCGCTCTCGCTGCAATTTTCTGAAGGAAGACTATCGTAGCTCGAATTGCTGCTATTTCGTATAGTTAGCCAACGTTTCAGTTTGTAAGCGTTGCGTAAGGCGCAATGTGATTCAACGTTGGTTCGAAATCCGTGGTGCGTGCAACGTTGTCCGCAACCTCCGAAATCTGGCAGATTTTTGGAAACCGGAGAAATTCCTTCCAGGTTATATACGTTTCTGGAGAGTAGATTACTCAGATAACGTGACTTCTCTTGTCCTCTGGTATAGATGTAGCGTGCGTGTCGTGTAATAGCTTGCAAATGAATCGTGAAATATGTAGGATTAACTTTTCCGTCGAATCATTCGAATCCGTGATAATTTCGTGTAAGCCAGTTGTTTTCTCGTCTTGCTCTCTCGGGTAATTCTCCAAATGGATAAGGTGGCCTCATAATCCAGTGCCCGGTGATCGTCGCATTAATCGCAAGAACCGCGACTTCTTTCGGAATAAAGTTGTCTTCGACATCGCGAAAACCTTATATGTCGATGACTACATTATAAATTTAAATTCAGAAGGTAGCTAAATTTTTATAAACACAAATAAAATAAAGCATACAGCCACAACGCTAGATAAAATTTGCGCAAGTCAATTTATTAAATTACAGTAAAATATGAAAATTAAACGTTTCGGTCACAATTTTTAACCATCATCAGTAATTATCTGCCTAATATCATTATTTACCATTACAAAAATA